GGGAGAAAACGAATGATAAAGCAAACATGGTAAAATATCAACATTTGGGGAATCTGGGTGAAAGTTATATGGGAATTCTCTGTATTGCCTTTAAAACTTTTTGAGAAGTTGTAAGTGATTTCAAAATAAAAAGTTAAGAGAAAAAAAAAGGTAGAGTTAAATTTAATATAAACTGACAGATAACCGAAAAATCTGTAAAACAGATTTAAAACCAGGCTGCAGAATAATTTCTATAGCAGGAGAAGAGAGACTGTGGGAGCTAGGGAAGGGAACCAAGGAAGTACTTTTATGTTGCTTTATATATTTATGCAAGTTTGAATACTTTTCAATGAGTTAATGTTTGTGTACTAATTGAAGCCCCTTCCTTCATTCCCACTCCACCCTCTGCCCCCCAAAATTAATGCCCCTGGAACAGGTGCTGGACCACCAGGTAAACAACAAGGGAGAGTGAAGTGTAGGAGAAGAAAACTAATGCTTGGATCCAGAATTCAGTGGCATATCTTACATGAAATTTCAAAATCCAAATTATGAAATTATAATCTATACTGGTATCCATATAAAGAATTCTATGTCCTAGGAATTTAAACACAATTTAAAACATCTAAATTATAGAATTATAATTCCCTTTCTGGTACCTACATAAGAACTCTGTGTAAGAAATGCCAAAGTAGAACTACAACCCTGTAGATTTTGCAGATAACAATCCATACTAACCACATATGAGGTCATGATGGGCACTGACTCATTTAAAAACCCACCACCAGTCTGTTATCTTCATTTGCTCAGTCCTATTGCACCTAATCAATGAATGACCTTCGAGAACGATTCTAAATTTTAATCATCTATGTGACTGTGATTGAAGTTTACTAACAGCCACCAGTAAGAAGGAGAGAAAGAATTAACTAAAGATTTTGTTTTGCACAAATTGACTACCTCAAAGAAGGGGAAAAACCACTTCATAGGGAAAAACATCTACAAAGGTTTGAGATGCAAGACTTTGGTCCAGAGTTCCAAAAACTACAACAACATAAATTAATAAACATATGTACTCCAGCCCTGAAGAAACATCTTGTTTTCTATGATTAGTCTACTTTGTCTTCGATATTCAGTATTCTCAGTGCTCCCCCACCCTTTGTTCCAAAGTCTTGATTTTTTTTTGTTTTTACAAAGTTATTTTTTATGTCTTCTTCCCTTTCAGGGAACTTTGCCTAAGTTTACCATGACATATAATTTAAGACAATTCTTACCTTGCAAAGACAACCCACTTTCTGTATATCAACCTGGAACCTATGTATAATTCCCTGCAACTTTCCATATTCACAATTTCAAAATCTGATTTAATATACTGCATGTGAATATAAATTTCTGCATCACCTGCATTCTGAAATTCTGATGACTATTATCTGTTCATAATTTTTTTAAAAAATTTCAGTGAAAATAGGTCATCTTTAGACTGATAATTGCAAAATCATATGACACCATGGACCATGTGCTTGAATATCACTTCTACGGAAATTTTCATGATGCTACTGTCATCTCGAAAGAAGCTCCTGCCACTGGTCTGATCATTACTGTTATAGCCTTAGCCCAAAGCAGAATGATACAGAGTTTTGATTCTTATGTTTAAAATTGATGTTGAATGTTCACAAGAACTATATGAAAGTCCAGATTTTTTTTTTTTTTGAGACAGAGTCTCACTCTGTTGCCTGGGCTTGAGTGCCGTGGCGTCAGCCTAGCTTACAGCAACCTCAAACTCCTGGGCTCAAGCAATCCTCCTGCCTCAGCCTCCCAAGTAGCTGGGACTACAGACATGCACCACCATGCCCAGCTAATTTTTTCTATATATATCTTTAGTTGTCCAGCTAATTTCTTTCTATTTTTAGTAGAGATGGGATCTCGCTCTTGCTCAGGCTGGTCTCGAACTCCCGACCTCAAACGATCCACCCATCTCAGCCTCCCAGAGTGCTAGGATTACAGGCTTGAGCCACAGTGCCCGGCTGAAAGTTCAGACTCTTTGAACTAGTAGCTCCCTTCCTGGGAACTTGTCTTAAGAAAATAATTCAAAAGGATAAAATAAGTATTTCAACATTTTCCATAAGTAATATGAAACACTGGGATCAATGTTACTATACAAAAATACAGGAATAGTTTTGCAAATTATAACGAATCAATTCAACAGACTGTAATAAAGCTACTTATCAAGAAATCATTATGAAATATAACTTACCAAGACTACCTAGTAATTCAGAATAAAGTTTAGATGCAAATCATAAATGAAAAAATGAAAATGAAAAATTGCATATAAAAACACTAAAATGCAACTAAAAATTAATCAAGTATGATATATAAATTCATTTCCTTAAAAATTTTAAAAATATTGTTTCATTTTTGATTTTACAATAAACAAAGAGGGAAAAAGTACCAAAGAAAACCTCTTCTCAGAGGCCAATAAAAGCTTGAAAGTCTGAATTTCATATTCCTATACAGAAAATTAAATTATTTTTAGCATCGGCAGGACTATACCATATAAGACCAAATCTTAAAACATATAGTTCCCAGATTTGAGACTTGTTTTAGACAGATATAGAATCCTACCCGGTGGCCATAAGGGGATAAAATAACCACAAGGAAAAACAATGGTAAAGGATGTATTACATTACAAACCACTTTTTCTTAAAACCAAGAATATACAAACTGCACTTGATTACAGGTTCCAATATCAGAAGCCATCAATGGAAGAGGACTAAGAAAAAGATCCATCTTGGACCAGAACTATTCCTTCAGCCTTAAGAATTGTTTTTTCTAGTCCCTTAGTGAAGAGGAATTGGTGTTACTATCAGAACTCATTGACCATCCCATTATAAGTAAACTTGTACAGCAAACTACCATTTTTTAACAAATTAAAAAATATATACATATATTCTAAGTTTAAAGGGAGGAGACAACATGTCAAAGCCAACAATTAAGTGGAACTAAGGGCAAAATCCTTTTAGAGGAGAAAACCATAGTGGTCTTACTACCCCTAAGGAGGTGGCACTGCTGTCTCTTCTTGGCACCACTGCAGTAGTCTTGTCAGAAGCCATACAATGCATAGCATCCTTGATACAGAAATTATGTCTCCTCTCTACAATATTCCTTCCTCATAAAATCCTATCCCTATCTTTAAAAGACTTTTCTTGCAATTAAACTATGAAAAATTTTGCTAAAAAAATATTTAAGAATCCAATGTGATCAATGTTCCAAAGTGAAATACATGTCTTAGGTACATGTCTTAGGTCTGATTCATTTTCCTTATTTTGTAATTAACTGCCTGAATGACTTGAGAAGCTTCTGGCTTCACTACACAATCTGGAAGCAGCAAGAACATTTTTCCAAAGACTTAGCTGTCAAATTACTCCCCTAATAATGTATTGTTTTCTAATGCTAGTGTAGAAATGCCAGGGCACCTCTGACAGATAACTGCTCGAAAATTTGTATTCAAAGCTTTTAAATAGCATGAAATGTTGGTTTTAGAACCAGCTGGCAAGTAGAAGGGCAGGGGCAGCAGGAAAGGGGAAGACAGTACGGGAGGTGCTGATGACAATCCTGGGCCTCCTTTCTGATACTGGCATCTTAATTCTGGAAAATGGGTTCCCAGAATTTGTCGAACAGCAATTAGGCTGAATATTTTTTTCCAAAAGGAAAAAAAAAATGCTCCATTTCTGTATACATTAGGAATTCCACATGCCACACATTAGAATATGAAAAAAGATACACATCGGGAAAAAGAAGAGAAGAGAATCCAAAAGCATTTTATCAAACATCAAGTTTTCTAACTGTGTAAAGAACTTTCTAAATTACACCACAAAGGGAAAAGAAAAAAATTCTCTGTTATCAACTGATGTGTTTACTTGGGTCGTAATACCTTAGTCTAAAACCACACTGCCCACTATGGTAGCTACTAGCCATCTGTGGCTACTGTGCACTAGTCCAAATTCATACGTGTTGTGTGTGTAACACACACACGGGATTCAAAGACTTCGTATGAAAAAAATGTAAACTATCTCATTAATATTTTTCATATTGAAATGATAGTATTTTGGATATGCTGGATTAAATAAAACCATTATTAAAATTGATTCCATCCGTTTCTTTTTACTTCACTTAATGTGGCTACCAGAAAAGTTAAAATTATGTCACTCATATTATGCTCTCCTTATATTTTTATTGGACAACACTGGTATATAATTTTATGTTGAATTAAATTACCTTTAAAATTCCTTTCAACTCTAGAATTCTGAGACTAAGAAACTATAGTCCCAAGCTACTGAGTTTTAAGTAACAAAGTTCTTTCAGAGAAACACAGTTTTTGTCATTATTTCATGCTTTCTCCACACTTTTTCACCCATACCTCCCAGCACCTTCTCATTCTGTTCCCTAATAGCCAAGAAGAATGAACGTGTCAATTTATTTATTTATAAACTGCAAATATGCAGTTCATAGGGCCATTCTGGACAAATAATAATAAAATTGCCATTTGGTCATATTCCTTTTTGCTTCACACTATCCTGATGTTTGTTCATTTTTAATGATCCACAATGAATAATAAATTCTGTGAGTTTTTTTCAGTTTTAGTATCTATAAAATAGGGGTAACAGCCTTAGAGAACTTTATAAGTCTTATATCCTGTTGTCCCCAAACATGCCGGCACCTCTGAGTCACCTGGGGAACATATGAACAATATTGATTCCTAGGCTCGATATCTGGAGATTCGGACTCAGTAGGCCTGGATGAGGCCCCCAATTCTGTACTTCTTAAGAAGCTGCCCAAGTCACTGTGAGGCTAAGACAAAGTTTAGGAACCACTGGTCTAGCCTAACTTACTTTATGTGTAACTGAGGTAAAATGAATTGTCCCAGTGCTAAGGCCCAGTGGCCCCAGACCTGGAACCAGGATGCAGGCTCCTAACTTGGGCTCATTGACATTGCTGAGAGACTTCGTACCAAATACACACATACTCACTCCTCAAAAGCCCCAGTCATCAGTATATCTTCTTTGTCAGTTTTAACATCCAACTCTGGTTCTCCACTAAGCAGAAGCTTCAAGTTATAAATAACCAGCAAAGTGCCTGGAAGAAAAACAGATGTTTGACCTGTCAGTATTTTAAATGCACTAAATGCTAGTCACTGTGTGACAGTCTCATCCATGGAACTGAGTCTGCTATAGACCACATTTTCTTTTTTACTTCAGTAAATAATATGTTTGGGCAAGTCTTTGGACAAGCCAAGATATATGTCTTACAGCGAATTGCACTCTCTGCCAGAAAGTGTTGAGCTTCTACACTATGGTGCCTCTCGTTACTATTCAATTCATCAAAAGTCTTTCAATATGGATTCTCAAACTTTGGCATTCTTTTTGTAATTTACATTATGAAATTTGTTATGAGGCTCAGCCAAGTTTGTATGATAGGTAAAGCTCTCATTGGTAGAACTGAAATCAACACATGTAAGAACAAAGATGAGTTTTTTAAAATTTGTACAAATACAAAGCATTGTTTTTAGACTATAGCAGGTGTTGGCAGACTTTTTCTGTAAAGGGCCAGACAGTAGACATTTTAGGCTGTGCAGGCCATACGGTCTCTGTTGCAACTATTCACAACTCAACTCTGCTGTTGGAGCATGAAAGCAGGCATAAAGAATACATAAATGAATGAGCGTGGTTGTGTTCCAATAAAACTTCATTTACAAAAACAGGTCACATTTAACCTGTGACCATAATTTGCTGAGCCCTGCTCAGAGCATTGTTAACAAAAAAGTCCAAATCATTTATGAAATTGGTTATGATATGAAGACAAACAGGGTTGTCAGAGAAATTTAAAGGACAACTAATT